AGCAGGAATATTTTTCTCTCGACATTTTGTACTTTGAGCATTTAAAAACATATTTATGTCCTGTGTATCTTACATAAATGGACCTGAAGTAATCCCCTAGCTGCCTCCCCCCAGCCCTCCCCCCTGTCATCTCCACAAAGTAGGTCACTGAATAGTGGAGATGAAAACTCAAATGTGAAATATTTGCCCTATAAAAGCCCTGTCATCCATAAAACCAACCCTGGGCAAATGTTACTGCAAGACATGATGGCTCTTCTGTGTGTGTGCACATGTCATGGTGAATCTGAAGGCAGGAGATGTTAGAACAGCAACAAAACCCCCAGTAAAATAGGTTCATGGTAGGCAAAAAAAGAGAAGTGGATCAGGAGAGTGTGTTAGTATTTGTAAGTGATCTTTTCCTCTGCCTTAAATACTGTATTCAAAGCAGGAAGAATAAGGCTCCAGGTGATGTCTGCTCTGCTCAGCCTGGCTCCTCACGCTATCTTTGTCCCCCTACAATCAGAGATGTAACATCTGTCACTTCTGGCATCTTCTCTCTCCCTGTTCCCAGGGGCAGGGTTGTGCAGCAAAGCCAGTTGTTCTTTCAGGGGGGTTATTTCACTTGATTCTCTGGCTGCACTGCTCTGGATTGCTGCTGAAAGAGCTGGATGGAGGAGGTGGCTGGTGCTCTTGGGTTGGAGGTGGTGGTGACCCTTCTCTACCCAAGAGAGCTCTTTCTACTGTTTCACTCCTAACAAGGTTGAGCACAATTAGATGTCCTACCTGGCAACTACGTCGAGCAAATTGTTCAGCTCTGGGTGAACCTGAGGATGTGCTGAGCATGTACTGCCCTGGGGGTAGGCACATCCCAGAGGGGAACATGGACTTCAGAGGTGAGCACAAGGCAGGCTGGTGGCCTCCAGGTCTCCTGTTCCACCTCTGAGGCCAGTCATGTCAACAGACAGATTTGGGTTTGCACAAGCTCTGCCAGAGACAGGCAGAGAAATTCCTAAAGAGCAAGTGGGAATGAGCCTGTGTAACCTCCCTGCAGTATGATAAGAGGGCTTCTCTGTTAAACTAATCAGCTATGTATTAAATAATGAATTAATTAAACATCCAGGCTGGTGTATTAGGACATGTGGCCTTGAGCTGTGTGTGAAGTCTGTGTCCTCTGGTCATCTTGTTCCTCCTTTGATGATACATAAAAGAGACCTTCATTTTATTGCTGAATGTTTATTAAAATCACAGTGCTGCCTCTTTGCATAATGAAAAAATGCCTTTTGTGAGACAATTAACAGTCCAATTAAGATATTTGTAAACCTTAAGCACTGTCCAGAGTGATCATTCACTGGCAACCCTGAGGCACACCAGAAAATAGGCAGACGTTTCATTATTGCAGTAAATTGATTATTTTTTGTGAGCCATTATCCTCAGAGTTTATCTTTGAAAGGAATAGGTGAACAGAAGGGACAGATAAATGCCAGATTTTGTTTAAAAAGGCTTTACTTTTATAGTTCTGTTTTAGTACTTAATGTGCAGAGATTTTTCCTTTTAATTCTATCCCTGGGAGCTGCTGTCCCTTCCCATCCCTCAGCCTGGGGCAGGGTTGGCCAAGCTGCTTGGCTCCTCCTGGAGGAGAAGTGAGGGTGGGTGACCTCCTGCCCTGCAGCCCCTTCCTTCCCCAGCACCTGCTTTCCCCCTTGAAATCTGTGGGGTTCTTTTCTGGGAGGTGCTTATCCACCATGGGTTGACTCGGGCTGGGTTTCTGGGAGCAGACA